CATAAGGAGGGAGCAACCTAGATCCCTCGTGTGTGCAGTTTATAGTAGGGTTCTGGCTCCTATGAGAATCTAATGCCACCGCTGATCTGGCAGGAGGTGGAGCTCAGGCAGTGATGTGAGCAATGGGGAGTGCTGTAAATACAGATGAAGCTTTGCTCACTCACCCACTGCTCACCTCCTGCTGTGTGGCCGGTTCCTAATGGGCCAAGGACTGGTACTGGTTCATGGACCGGGGCTTTGGGACAGCAGCTGTAGAGATACAAGGCCTTTTGTTGTTCTTGTTTATATCAGGGAGATTTGTTTTCTCTGCAACACTCCTCACGATGTGAGCATCTGGTCTATGTAAGGTTAGCCTCTGTGGTCATTAATTGCACAGGCTTATTTCATTCCCATGACCCCTCCAAAACACAGATTTGGCACTTCTTCTTTCCTGGCCAATCAACAGACCTATTTATATGAGACAAATATCTTGGCCAGAGTGCTTGCATTTTAAGGGGAGGGCAGGAGACTGCAAGGTTGTGATGGATTTTCATCCAATGTCTAAGCATTTCACACAAAGTATATCAGCACATTATAAATCTCATCCCTATAATGGAATACTCACTCACACAAGGTATTCCATTTCCAGGCTCTATCAAAAGTATCGTTGCTGTTGTTCAATGCCTGGACTATGATCTCAATAGCCCCAAAGCCTGTTCTACACCCAAAATGTCCAACATTGCTCAGAAGTTCTCCAACCACGTAACAACTTTCCTCTTATAAATTCCATCACTTTCCCCACCTACTGGGTGTCGGCTCCTGAACATACATGCATGTGTCTGAGGATGCACACACACACATGCACACAGGGCCTGGGCCGGTTGGCTTGCATTGCTGGTGTTGTCTACTAGGGAAGGCCTCAGAGTTCAGACATTCAGCAAACAAAATGACAGCATTTGGGCCTCCCAACCTCTCACTAGGTGGGTAGTGTCCAGGCACTGAGAGCTCCTGGGAACTGTATGATGAAAGAAGTTATACCCTCTTCCCTTGTAGACATGTACTCCAGACTCAGAGTCCAAAGCAACATCTTCCCACTCTCCTCCTGCCCTTTATCCCTTCTCCACGCTCTTTGCCTCGCCCTAAGGACAGAGAGCCTTTGGCCTTCAGTCCAGATGACCTTGCATGGGTGGCCAGACTCTGCAGCTCCCTTGGCTCAGATTTCATTTCAAACTCTTCATGCAGAAGGGGCTTGCGCAGTACAGGAGGGTGGGAACTGCACATGGAGGCGCTCTGCAGCTGCTCCCAGCTGCTCCCAAACGCCGGTTTCTCCTCACAGGACCCGAAAGGGCCTCTGTTCAGTCAGCCTCTCTGGTGGACTTGTAAAACAAGACCATGATCATTAGAGGCCAGAAAATTTGAAATTTTGATGAAGTCAGGGGAGCACTAACTCCTAAACTCTGAGATGAGTCGTCTTTGATCTACAGAGTGAAATGATTCTAGCAATATTCTTCTTTGCTGAAATTGTCCAGACTTGTTAAAGAAAAGGAACTAAAATATAGAAATAGACACGCTAATAAGTATTTCCTATCTTGTGCCAAAATAAGAGGCTAAAATGTTACAGAAACCAATCATTTATATACATACATACTATGTATGTGTATGTGTATACATATCTGTAAATACCTTATAAATAGGTATCTTTTGTCTTAGAAGAAAAAAAGATATAACTTTTAGTTCGTACAAACATAAATTAGCAGAGAGGAGGGCCCTCTTATTAAATTCTGAGCTCACCTGCTCTTGAACTACAGTAGAGACATTTGGGTTTGACTTCAGGTAAAGATCTCTACATTTTGAAGCTAATGAAACCATTTTCCACTTTCTTTTGTGAACCCACCACACACACAATGGGAATGGACACTGTCCACCGCAAAGGACTGCTTTCCCGTGACATGGAAGCCACAGACATTTGTTGTACTGATATCACGTCTGCTAAATTAAGTCATGAGGAATGTTTTTTAAACCCCATCAAGGTGGAGTTTCATATCCAGAAAACTCCACTGAAGTGTCCTAAATTATCAGTAAGAAACCTCTCTTGGCATCTAAAAATTTGCCTTTCATTTATTTTAGAGGAAGACTATCGGGACATTTTAAATCAATATGAATAATTTCCTTTTTAGAGATTTTGAATAACAAATTCATTTTCTTAGCCTTTACTACAAATTTGTTCCGAGGAAGTGTTTATTACTTTACTCTTGAGACGCATTTTATAAAGTATTTTTTTTTTTCCCAGTGCAAGGAGTTTGTCAAAACATCTCAGCAACAGGTGTTTCTAACTCACAAACTCATTCTCCAAGACATCTTCTTGAAACTTCTTAATAGCAACAGATTTCTCCCTTTGCGACAACAGTAGGGGGCAGTACCACAGTAAACTATTAGGGCTAACAGATTTCACTGGCAAAAAAACTAGGCCAGACATCTCAGGATTCTCCCATGTAAATGTGCATCTAAAAATATTACAAAGATTTTTCTCTTCCATAATTCACTTTAGGGTGCAAATATTGGAATTTTATTTGTGCGTGTGTGTGTATGTTTGTGTGGTCGTAAATATATGACAGAAATCTTATATTGCAAACTTTGGGCTGACTCAGGAAAGTCTAACCAAATCCCCTGTTCTAAAATATTAGCTAAATATAAGTAGCTAAAATGCACTTACTAGTTAAGTGGCATCCTGTGTGGGACATTTTCTTTTTTCACAGTTAAGTCTTCAATCTTTTTCACAAACACCAAACTCTAAGTTTAGAGCCAAGATGAAAGAGAACTTATGGGGAAATTTCATTAAATAATCACATAATCCAGGCTCCATAGGTTGGATTCTTTTTAATAAGTTTTCTATGTAATTGAGTTAAACTTAAATTTATGCATCCAATAAAAAACCATGGCAAACGGTAAAACAAAGACATTGCTCCAACACTTAGAAAATTAAATGCACCAAACCATGAAGTCAACTGTGCAGTTATTTTTGTAACCACCATAAATTGCTTTATAGAACTCTTCTGCTGGAGTAAACAATCCCAGGATAGATTTACTTTACAGCATGCACCCAAGTCCAAAGGAGAGAGTGGCCTAAAACTTTATGGCTCCTTTTCCTTTTCTTTTCTTTTTTAATACTCATGTTTCTAGTTACCTTGAAACCTTCCTTCTCTTACGGGAGCTCAGAAAGGTCCACGGAAAATAAGATCCAGGTCTGTAGATATACTTGTGCCCTCAAATACTCATTTCTGGAATAAGAAGAAACAATCCTACTTTGTGGAAATAAAGTTTGTATGGCGAAAGGAAAATAAAGGGTTTTAGTACTAAATACTTCACCATATTTAATAGCACCTCAGAGCCCAACACAGTCTTAGATGTTTCAGACAGTCAGTTTGAAATGTGTTCGCTTATAGCACGGTGCGAGGCTGAATTCAATGCAAACTGCTATAGATAAGAGTTTTAGGGGTCTTTAATCACTTCTTTCTTATGTCCTTGATGGAAAAAACAGAGCTGCCTTTGTGCTAAAAAGAAGGACCTGTTGTTTCCAGATTCAACAGGTCATTTTTATAAGAACTTCCCAGAGGATACAACATAAATGACAGAAACACAAGGGGATATTTTAAGTGGCTGATGATTTTAAATGATATATAATCTATATTAAGGGAAGGTTGTTTGTTTTTCTTTCCAACAAATGGAAAGTTACTGTTTTAAAAGTGTTTAATGTCTGAATGTGATTTTTAGGACTAAACCTTTTCTCATGAGTTGATTTACTGTAAATTTGCCTCCTGAAATCCATCTAAGGGTGAGCTTCACCACTCAAGTAAATAAATTTGTCAAGTCATGTCCATTTCTGTTTTGGGGATAAATGGCTAATTTAGTGGGCTTTTGAAATATATCTAAATTGTGCTGTAACTTTTGTAACATTATTTCAGTTAAAATAACGGGTAGAATGCATATTTTGTGAACAAGATAAACTTTATAAAATGGAAAATTCTAGCAACATGGTTTTTCCTTGTACTTGGAGGAAAGAAGAAAAACCAATATTTTATGGCAAACAAAATCCAGGCGACGCTAGGGTTTATTAGTTGATCTGATTCTATTATTAAAGGTGGTCTGAATTTGAGGAGACTGGCGAATTTAAGATTAAGATCTAAACAAGACTTGTTTCCTAAACTGTATTCATAGAATTTTTCACAATGTATTTTTGTTCCTTTTCTTCCTTTTTTTTTTTAATTGGCAACCGTATTTGTAGAGAGAATTGTTTGAAGATCTTTAGAAAAGTTTCAGCCAGACCAGAGACAAAAGTTACTTTTCTCTATAAATATGAAAAGCACTTTACAAAACTCATACCTCGCCCTAAACAAAATTTATTACCAAGGAAGCGTTCTTTAAAACATGGTGACTGGTTGCTGGCCCTTGCTGGGACATATATTTCCCAAACTACGTAGACTTTTTGGTTCTTGACACTTTTACTAAGTCTCTGTATTACTTCCCACCTAGGGCAACTATCTGGCAAAGGATCAAGGTAATGGCAAAGACTGTGTTAGCCACACGGAAATGCCCTAAAAATAAAGAAGAAATAAAAACAGGTTTCCTTGGGAAGCCTACTGCTAACTGATGAACAGGTTTCTAATTTAGGTTTCTTCTTTAGCTAAATAACATGATGACTTTCACAGAGCAGGAGAAAGAGATGAGACTGGTTATTTAGTGGAAAGAGAATCCCAAAGACTAAAAAAAAAATCATTAAGGCCAAAATTTCCTTCCCACTCCCTCCCTCAACACCCCCTTCCCAGGAAGGAGAAGACATAGTGGAGAAAGAGACAACTGAACTTAAGGAGAGCTACAGATGACCCTTTGCCTTCTGCATGACGTGGGGAGACAGGCGAACTGGGGGTCACCAAGGTCTCCCCCAGGTCTCCCCCTCCCCCGCCCCAGAACCCCGAGCTCTCACTAGCTCTCACTGCCCGCGCCTGCGGCCCGCGCCTGCTCACCGGTACCAGGCGAGGCCCTTGTCGTAGCTGCGGTCGAAGAAGTGGGGCTCGGCGCCCACGGCGCGCACGTCGGGGTGCACGCGCAGGAACTCCAGCAGCGCCCGCGTGCCGCCCTTCTTCACGCCGATGATGATGGCCTGTGGCAGCTGCTTGCTGCCTTCGTCCAGGAGCAGCGCCAGGGTCCCCGGCGGGGCCTCGGCCACGCTGCTTCCGGCCCCAGAGCCACCGGGACCCCCGGCCAGGCCAGGGGTCTCTTCTTCCCAGGCCGCTTCGTCGCCGTCGTCGCGCGGAGCGGTCGGCCGGCGCCTCCGCCGCTGCTGCAGTTGCAGGAGGCGCTTTCTCTGTGCCGGCGCGGGCCACACCGCCAGCTCCCGCGGGCCTCCGGCCAGGACGCCGCGACCCGGGGCCCCCGCCTCCTCGCCGCTGCCGGACAGCCCCACGACGGGGCCGGACAGGGTCTGGCAGCGCTCGGCGAGGCAGTAGAAGACGTAAAGGGAGGTGAGCAGGGAGCAGAGCATCAGCAGGAACTTCCGGAAGATGTTGCGGGACAGAGGCTCAGCCGAGGTGGGGTGGGCGCCGGCCGGGCCCGGAGGGGCCATCCTAGCCGGAGGCGACGTCGGGCAGAACGCGGGCCATGCTAGGCTGGGACTCCGCCAGGTGCCATAATATCCCCCAGGCGGGCCTGCGCGCTGGCCGGAGGTCACATCGCCCGTGCGCCCCGGTGGCCCTGCGAGCTGCCCCGAGAGAAAGCGGCCGGGGCTCCTCAGGGGTACGGAGCCCTGGGAGCCCCGCTCAAGGTCTCTGCTCCCAGTCGAGGGGGCGGGCCGGGGGACGCGGTGCCGTGCTTAAGAAACCATCGTCTTAGACGCGCCCAAGTCCTGAGGCTTGGGGCATTGCTCGGCGCCCTGGTTCCCCCGAGTGTTGCCGGAATGGGGTCTTGGCGGCGGCGGAGGCGTGCGTCTTAGCCCCGGCTCCGAGCGGCCTCTAGGCGCGGATCTCCGCTCAGCGATCGTGTATCCCCCGCTCGGTCCCGGTCAGGGGACGCGCGGCTGCGGGGCTGCTGTGCTCCGTGCGCTCCAGACAGTGGCGAGCGACAGTGCCCTCCAGCCCCAGCTTCCTCTGGTCCCCTTGCCTGCCTGGACGCTCCCTCTCGGCCCGGGCTCAGGTCCTTTTGGCCCCGGAGCGAGGATCCCCCCGAGTCCCTCTGCCCAAGCGGGAACCAGAAGGCCGGCGCCGAGCCGTCCGCTCTCTTTGCGCGCCCGGCTGCTCCAAACCGCTCTGGGACCCCACCTGTGAGCGAGGTGGCGCGGCCGGGCTGCGCGGGACCTGTCAGCGGCCGCAGCCACTGTGCTCGGCCACTGTGCTCGCAGGTCCTCCCCCGCTGCCTCTCGGGCCGCCGCCGCCGCCGCCACACGTGGGGTGCGGAGGGCAGCAAACTTGGCGGTGACGTCAACGGCCCCGGGCCGGACCAGCCCCCGGACGAGCGCGGCGGGGCGCGGACCGGCGGCGTGGGATGGAGAAAAGGTGGCGCGGGCTCCGTAGAGGCGGCCCAATGGCACTGGAGAGGGCGGGGGCGCCAGGGGCGACGCCCCTTCCCCACTGTTCTCCCTCCCTCCCGGCAGCGTCTCCCCCTTTGAGCCGAGCAGGGGCCAGCGGCCGCTCCGAGGTTGCCTGACTGAGATCCAAGGCCGGCCGGATCCCTGGGGGCCTGACTTCCACCCAACGAGCCACCCGCTTGACTGGGGACCCCCAAACCTCTCCAGCGGAGCCCAGCCCTTCGCAGCCATGACCCTCTCCAGGCTCCCCATGCTCTGCTTCCCTCCCGCCACTGTCGCCACATCCTCCCCCACCCCACCCCTTTCCATGGCTTTGAACCTCCTCCTCGTCCCGAACCTTTGGAAGTTTTGTTTGCAGCAGCTCCCAGCACAGCGCTGCACGCCACGCCCCCATTTGTGTGGCGCAAGCTGAATTCCTCTGCGGCAGCTCGCACTTCTACCTACTCAACTGCCCGCTGCAAGCCCTTGAGCAAAGCCCTTCCTCCTTTCATCAGTAGTTTTTTTCTTTTAGTTGTTTTCCCTCGGATTTGTTTAAGGATGATCCAGAGTCCCCAGCGGCCTAGAAAGGAACAATCCCCTAGGAAAAGAGCCAATAAATAAATCAAAGGCAGAAATTAAGATTTTAAAAAATCAGCTCCGAATCCAAGTCCCTATGTCCAGTTTTTGATGAAGTCTTTTTTCTTAATGTTGTTTGTACTTGTGTGTGTGTGTGTGTGTGTGTGTGTGTGCTCGCAAAGGGGTTAAATGTCCTTTCACAAACAGCGATTTCCTCCTTCTCTTGCCTCCCCTGACCCTATATCCTCTTGGCGAGCTCCCCGGGGGAGCAGGTCAGGAAGGGATACAAGCGGCCTTGCTGTTTAATGGAGGGAGGTGGCCCGTGGAACCTGCATGAGGTGGTTTTTTGTTCCAGTCCTATTTGTTCCTTATTTCTTGGCTTCCTGGCCTCCGCAGGACGCCGTATACTGTGGTTGGTCGCCTGGCTGCTTCATATCAACGCTGGCAAGTTGTGGAGGCAGCTTTCTGGGCCCACTGTGGATGCTAACAAGATCCCACGGGGACATCATGTCCATGTCGCAGGAAACTCACCAGGAGTTCCTGCTGCCCAGTGGTGGGACTTCAGCTTTCCACCCGCCTGCCTTCCTGCTCTTGACCGTGGAAGTGGAAGTCAGTGAGGTACTTTCTCAGCTTCCGGAGGGGACCGCATGGTTCTAACTCTGTACTTGCATGGAACTGCTGGATTTGGGCCCTACTGGATAAATATTCACCGCTGCATTTGGTTTTATGTTTATGAACTACCAATCCCAACTGATTCTACAACCAGTGAAGAGCCTTTTAGCTTCTGATGCCATAAAACACTGGACTTTCATAAGGATAAACAGCAAGTCCTGCCAAGCTTTAAAATTCCTTTGTGTCCTAAAATTGGATATTGACAAACCAGTTGAGGTTTAATACTCACTTAAGCTTTAATATCTTTTAAAACTTTTCTCTAAGTATTGGGTCCGATTTGCAGAAGGAGAACAAAACAAAGACCGTTTTAAAGTTGTTCTGAAAGCCGGCAATCCCACAAATGCTTACACATGTGCTTCAGTTTCCTCAACTGGAAAAGGATGGGCTCCAAGTTCCCTTCTAGTTCCAAGGTGACACAATAGCATGTGTTTGTTCATTCACATTCTGAATATAGGTATTTCCTTTAATGTGGGTATTAAAGACTCATACTTTGTAGGAGACATGATGCTCACAGTCACTCACACAATAGCTACAGGAGCTCTGCACATTACAAGGAAAATGTGAGCCACAAATATAAGCCACATAGGTACTTTTAAATTTCTAGCAAATTTCAGGACCTTGAAAAAAGGTAAAAGAAACAGGTAAAATTATTTTTTCATAATACATCCCATACATCTAAAATGTGATTTTAACATGTAGTCAATATAAAAATGGTTGAGGTCATTTATGTTCTTTCTTTTCATACCATGTCTCTTGGAGCCGCATTTCCAATGTTCAATACCCACATGTGGCTTAGTGGTTACCGTAGCACACAGCACACTGAGGATGTTTTGGTGAGAAGGATGTATCTGTTGGGGTCTCAACAGGAATCAGCACATTCAAATTAGGATAATTCATGGAGGATGTATTTACAAAAGATCTGTTCATAAAGGAGCAGGATAGACAAAAGCCAAATATAGCACAACAACCCTGAACTAGTAGCATTGGAGCTGTTGCCACCTTAGGTCTGAAGGAATGAGGGAAAGGAGGGGTTATTAAAACCTAGCAGGAAAAAGTCAGAGAAAAGAGGCCCTTGAGAGAAGCAGCTTTAGTGGTGAGACACAGCCTGTCCCAGCCAACCTCTTAGGGAAGGAGTCAGGGACAGAAATGTTCCATGTGGCATTATGTCATCATGGCAAAAATCAAGAAGAGTGATCAAAGTCCCATGATAACGTTAGATTCAGTCATACTACACACCGTCTTAGAAAATGTTTTTCCTCATCCATTCAGATGCATTCATTAGAACGGAAACAAGTTGGAGCTAATAATTATTATGGCAATTTAAAGGAAAACAATACTTACCAGAAAGCACAATAGATCTTGTTGCACAGTTTCTTCTTGTTACTCCCTTTCTGTTTGTCATTCCACCTGTATTAGTCAGGGCTCTCCAGAGAGAGAGAACCAGTAGTATAGATAGATAGATGGATGGATAGGTAGATAGATATAGATGGATGGACGGCCGGAGATTGATTAGGGGAAGTGGCTCACACAACTACGGAGCCTGAGAAGTCCCAGGACAGGCCATGTGGAAGCTGGAAACGCTGGGATGCTCATGGTGTGGCTGAGCCCGAGTCCGAAGGCCTCAGAACCCAGAGGCACTGATATAAGTCCTTAGAGTCCAAAATCCAGAGAGCCTGGAGTTTCTGTGTCCAAGGACAGAAGAAGGAGAACGTATCCCAGCTCCAGGAGATAGCGAAGACACATGCACCTTTCCTCTGTTTTTGTCCTATCCAGATCCCCAGCGGACTGGATGGTCCTGGCCCACATTGAGGGTGGATCTTCTCTCCTTGATCCACTCGACCCCACCCACTACTCTCCTCTGGAAACACCCTCACAAATACAACCCAAAATAATGCTTTCTCTATGTACTCCTTAATCCAGTCAAGTTGACACCTAAAATCAACCATCAGACCATGTTAAAGCATATATCCACTCCTTAAAAACAATAAGGCTCTTCCTTGGAAAAGCTCCAGGTTTTTTCCTTGCTATCCCAGAAGCTGGTCTTGAGCTCAGTGGTGAAATGGCCAAGGTCAAAGTTCAGTGACTTTCAGCTTCCCTCTCTGCACCCTTCTCCCTCCCTGGTGTGGTGTCCTCTCTTGAGATACCACCCTGTGTCCTCTAGGCATCTGACTGGCCACTCCTTCCCAGTCCTGGACCATAGAAACCTGTTACTGTACTAAACACGGATTGCTTGTCTTCTCCCATACCTCTACCACGCAGGTTTTATTTTTTTTATTCAGCATATTATAGGGGTACAAAGGTTTAGGTTACATATATTGCCTTTGCCCCACCCGAGTCAGAGCTTCAAGTGTGTCCATCCCCCAGACGGTGCACACCACAGCCATTGGGTGTAAATATACCCATCCCCTTCTCCCCCTGCCATCTGCCCGACACCCAATGAATGTTATTATTATATGTGCACTTAAGTGTTGATCAGTTAATACCAATTTGATGATGAGTATATGTGGTGCTTGCGTTTCCATTCTTGTGATACTTCACTTAGTAGAATGGACTCCAGCTATATCCAGGATAATACAAGAGATGCTAGATCACCATTGTTCTTTGTGGCTGAGTAGAACTCCGTGGTATATATATATACCACATTTCATTAATCCACTCATGTATTGATGGGCACTTGGGTTGTTTCCACACCTTTGCAATTGTGAATTGTGCTGCTATAAATAGTCCAGTGCAGATGTCTTTTTTATAGAATGTCTTTTGTTTCTTTGGGTAGATGCTGAGTAATGGGATTGCTGGATCAAATGGTAGTTCTAGTTGTAGCTCTTTGAGGTATCTCCATATTACTTTCCACAGAGGTTGCACTAGTTTACAATCCCACCAACAGTGTAGGAGGGTTCCTATTTTTCCGCATCCACGCCAACATTTATTGTTTTGGGACTTTTTGATAAAGGCCATTCTCACTGGAGTTAAGTGATATCTCATTGTGGTTTTGATTTGCATTTCCCTGATGATTAGAGATGTTGAACATTTTTTCATATGTTTGTTGGCCATTAGTCTGTCTTCTTTTGAAGGTTTCTGTTCATGTCCTTTGCCCACTTTTTAATGAGGTGGTTTGATTTTTCTCTTGCTGATTTTCCTGAGTTCTATGTAGATTCCAGTTATGAGCCTTTTATCAGATGTGTAGCATGCAAATACTTTCTCCCATTCTGTAGGTTGTCTGTTTGCTCTTGTGACAGTTTCCTTGGCTATACAGAAGCTTTTTAA